TCCGCTCCTTGGGATTAACGCCTGTGGACCATATTACACACACTTCCCTATATATCTTTTTAGAAATAGGTTAAAAAATGTAAGTCTCTTAAGTTTGGAAAAACGGCACCTCAGAGGGGATATGATAAACATTATACAAATATATTTGGGGCCAGTACAAACCATTATCTGGAAATCTATTCATAAACAGGGCTATATATAGGACACGAGGTCACACATTTAGGCTGGAAGAAAGGAGATTTAATCTAAGGTAAAGAAAAGTTGTTGTTGTTTTTTTACAGTAAAAGCAATAAGGATATGGAATTCTCTGCCTGAAGAGGTGGTTTTATCAGAGTCCATACAGATGTTTAAACTGCAATTGGATAAATACTTGCAAAAACATAATATACAAGGACATAATTTCTAATTAGTGGGGTAATAGCTGCTTGATCCAAGGAGACATCTGACTGCTATTTAGGGGTCAAGAATGAATTTTTTTCCTGGTTTGTTGCAAAATTGGAAGCGCTTCAGGCTGGGTTTTTTGCCTTCTTTTGGATCAACAACAAAAACATATGTGAGGAAGGCTGAACTTGATGGACACAAGTCTCTTTTTCAGCTGTGCAACTATGTAATATGTAGAGATATAAATGCAAATACAGTGAACCAAGTTGTGAATAGAATCAGCCATTACGAGTGGTGGAAATGAAAAAACCCAGACATGCAATGATTTATAGGTGGAGGAAGTTGTCCTGCGCCAGGAGCCCTCTCTAGTAGCAAAGCTGTGCGTGGTCCAGGGAAGGTCAGGGAGATGCTGACACGATTCTCCATTAAGAATACGGTAGACACGGTGTACACAGGGAGCAGGGACGTTCTGTCATGTTCCCTCCCCTTTCACACACAATGCACTGTAGCTGTTTGCTGGATCTTCAGAGTCCTGTCAGAAGCTTCCTCGCACAGTGGATGCTACTTGGCCAGGCTACATTAGGGGGGAAGCAGACAGAAATTTCATTATCAGACTGTCCGCTGTGTGACCTGGCAATGGTTGCCAGGTGTTTAACCAGAGCGTCTACTGAATAAGATGCTGTCTACTTCACCCCTAAGCTGGTTAGGGAGCCTGCAGGCCAGTAGTTTAAGATTCATGCATGCATTAAACATAGGCACAACAATAATAAAATCAAACCTCTGAATATGACTTTTCTGCATCAAATCCCATAGTTCCTATTAGTTTCTATTTCTGATATCAGTTTGAACCATACTTGAGATACCTAAGCCAGATGCTGGTATCCCACAGGAGAGTAATTTACAATTGAGTAAGAATTGTGTCTGAATTTAAGAATGGTGGTCTTTTTCTCAAAAGTTGGCACAATGCAATAACATGCATAATGTGTGATCAGATTATTTTTTATTTTAACTCTTAATGCCTAGTATGCCTTTGCAAAATAAGGACTCTTTTCCAACCTTGGCCTCAAATTATTTCATGTTTTTGTATAAACTTTTAGAATATTTTTTTCTAAATATTAAAAGTTCAAAAATGAAAAAATATTAAATGTTTATCTTTATATTAAATCATTTTGAGAGCTTAACCAAAAACATTTGAGACCCATCATTTTTTTTGTTTTACAGGCTGACCTCCAATAACGTTTGCTCGCAGATACAGACCATTTACAGATTAGCAGCTAGCAGAAAGACATACTGTGTAATATGTCACCATAGCAACCACACATTGCTTGTTAAAAAAAAGCTCACCCTGAACATGTATACTTCACTGTGACTGGCCTTATCAGGAGATAGCGACAGTGTACACAACGTATTAAGCTGTAATTTTGTGTATTAGAACAGTTTCAGAATAAAGATAGGGAAGAAACTAGTGATGAAAATGTACGTAATGAACATTACAGAAGGAGACAGAGTAGCAGTCTTGGGTCATCATGGTTAACTGTGTGTCAGTGTATTTGTACGTGTCACTGTGTGAGTATGTCGGTGTGTTTGCATGGTTTACTGTGTGTATCAATGTGTTTGTATGGGTCAATGTGTGTGTGTTGCTGGCAAATGAAGGACAGACTGGGACAACAGAGGACAAGCATCAGCAGAGATGTCCTGACGTAGTGAAGCTTCCAGGCAGTATCTGGTAAGGCACAGCTTAATAAGAGTGTGATGTGTGTTCGTATGGGTCACTGTGTGTGTCAGTATGTTTTCAAAAATACTATCACACAGTGACCCATACAAACACACACCACACTCTCATCAACCTGTCACTTACCAGATGCTGCCTGCCTGGAAGCTTCACTGTGTCGGGACACCTCTGCTAATGCCTGCACTTAATTTTCCAAATCTGTCCTCTATTTGCCAGGGTGCTGACTATGGGGGTATGATGTCACTTTGTATCCCAGTGGCTATTTAGCTTTCTAAATATAGTGAGGAGCAATTTCTTGGTGGAGACCTGCCGGGAAAGCTCCCTCACAAACGAGAAGGAGCACAGGCACCAGTCAGGGAGATCTCTAGATCTCCCTGTCGTTTGTGTAGCGGGCACACTAGGGTGTACCTGCGCTCACGCCTATTAGGTCACTTAATTTATGTATCAGTTTTAAAAAGAGGTGAACAAAAGTAATGCAATTTGATCAAAAAATATTTACTACTAAGTAAAAATAATTTTTAAAAATTGAACTGTTGTGGATTTTAAAAGTGTAAAACGTGGAGCTCTATAGTTTGTACAACTGATTTAATTTTACACAATGTAACTCATTTGTAGAGTTTCATATACATATTATGTAAAAAAAAGCACAAAAAATAAACAACATATGTAGCACTGATAGCACTGATAGGCAGCAGCTGCCATGGATCTGTTTGCAATAATTCTAACAAATGTTCCGGTACTGATTTAAGTGCAAATTGCATGACTGTCCATATATCAGAAATGATATACTCAATATTACCTTGCAGCAGTTTGTTATTTACTGTGTAAATATAGATATACATGCAATGTTATTGAGAGTTTGCTTGTATTGATCTGTCATGGAGATAAAAGGGATGTTTCATCATTCCGAAGCAATGTAAACAAACTGGACTGAATCTACTCAACTGAATGGACTTATGTAAGAAAAGTCTTGATTTGAGCAGATATTTGCAAATATTTTCTGAGGTTACCGGACCTCAAAATATAAAGAAGTAGATGTAATGGTTACTGCCCATTTGTAAGATACCCCTGTATGGGTACTGGAAAACACCAAATATAATGTGCTATTATACAAGGGTAAACTTGACAAGCTAATCATTTTAACCAACTTACACGGGAAGCTTAAAGTGACACTCCATACCCCTAAAGCACTTTAGCTTGCTGAAATGCTTTATATGTGAAAAGTGTCCCCTACTTTTTCATTTTGCAAAAAGTGTAGATTTCAATAGCAATTTACACATTTAAAAATTAACCCAGTTACACTCACTGGCTTTCAAACAGACAACAGGTTCTGTTACTTTGTAAACTCAGTTAAACTGAACTCAAGAGGCAGCAATTGTTTAGGGTACCTACCTTGTAAAGACTTCTGATTGAGCTGCACTGGAAAGTTTGTGATAGGATAGTCACAGAAAGACTGGGGCGGGGCTAGAAGAGGAGAGTTTGCAAAGGCTGCAGACAAGAGAACTGCAGTTTTTGCAATCCGTTTTAGCTATAACCCCCGTGGAAAAAAATGCATAATTAAAAGCATGCATATTTTCATATATCTAGTAAACATAGATTTTTATTTATTTTGTATTTGAGTAGTGGAGTGTCCCTTTAATTATACATGATTTTAAACAGGTCTTGGAGAAAGCACTTTTACTTGGCTTTATTGTTATTGAATGTAAGTTTAATGTTTGATATTGTTTATAGTATTTAACCTCTGTTTTTAATGCAGATTGGCATCTTCAAATATATTTAGTACTGGATAAAGGATTTTATTGTCCCATAAATACACGGTTGCGGTTATAATAAAAAGCCACATTAAGATATATAGGCTCAAACATTTTTTTGATCAATTTTCCGTACTGGTTCCATATCACACCACCATATAGATTTTATTCTACTCAGCCATGTCAGGTCAAAACATTAGGAGAGTTTGAATCCACCAAAAGAGAGGTAGAAAGCCACCTGTTTAACATGCACAATTCAAAGTCAAACTAGGGGGCTCAGAATTTGAGTTTGTCACACACATCTCTCAAAGTAACAAGTTATTCATTTGGTTAATTATGCTTTTTTTTGTTTTTGTTCTTTTTCACATAATATATGTCTGAAATACTATCAAATATGGTGCTCCATTTTGCTGTTAAATTTTGTATTCGATTTTTCACTGTGTGAAAAATGGGTGGATTTTCATTTATAAATTGCACTTAAATAATGTGAACTCTGTTCATGTGACGTGTATGGTAACAATGAATGTGAAGATATTTATCCTTTATGGATGCAATTTATTTCAAAACCTAAAAAAGTACTTGAGAACTTGAAGTATGTAGCAGTTATGTTAGTTTATGGACAAAATAGGAGCATATAGAAAAAGAAATAGTGTGTAGGCGCTTCACTGAAATTTGTGACAATTTAGTATATAGCAAAAATATTAAACAAGCGGTGTAACCGGTATATTAGTGCTTCCCTTTAACACCAAACATCAATAGTACAGTTTAAAAAAATAAAAACATATACCAGTGTGTACATCTCTCCAGCGTGACTCTAATAAATTGGATAATATTACCAATGATGAGCTTGATTGAGATATTTGGCTAAAACAAGAAAAAAATACAAAACAACATAGTGTGGACTGTATAATAATATGAAGTGGTTGAAAAATATAAAACTCCCACTCACATTTTCCAGAGCTGTGCCAGGCTCTGTAAATTAGGCTCATGGGTGCCAAATACTGGCTAACGATCCAGGTGATTCAGGCAGATGAGACTCCAATATCAGGGTGAAAAGTATATTTATTATGTATAAAAAAAATATACTTCAGGGTACTATGGGGGTGGAGGTGGCACTATGGTTCCACCCCCATAGTGCCCTGAAGTGCACAGCCATTTTATCTTCAGTCAGGTAAGCGTGTGCTCGTGAGTAAGGTTTATTTAAATTGTAGAATGGAAATGGAGAAGGTCTGGGTACCTGACAGCGTCCCTTCAAAACAAGCAGCTAATCACAAACACAATACTTGGGTAACATAAGCACACATGTATAATAAAAAAGAATATGAAAACTGTTGAGACACTTAAAAATATATACTCAAGTTATACCATTTTGACTAGTGTGTATTAAGTGACAAACCCATAGTCTAACTATTGTTCAATCCATTCTGTTCTGTTAAGAGAACCTTTGTGGATACAGTTATTTTATCTGTGTTTTATGCAGTTTCTGTCATTGAACCAGCATATTTATTTTCCCATTTGCAACAACTTGCAGTGCTGTCTTTGCATGGATGTCATAAACCTTTTGAATCATTTATATCTCTTGCATTGGCACAGTGAAAAGTGTCACAGAAAACAAAGATGGCATTGGAACATCAACCTGCACTGTCTTAGAAGAAATATAAAAATAATGAGAGGATTTCAATAATATGACACTTGCCATCTCACACAAAGCTAAACACGGTCTGTGTCTGGAGAGATATTGGCAAATACATATGAGTGACAGCCTATCATTTAAATGGTATAACACTATACGTTCCAAAGTCATAACAATAGTAAGCAAATAGAGACTTCTCTACATATAAATCTTTTTACCCTGGCATTTTTTTTGGCAGTATGTAAAAGCTAAAACATCTATGAGAGACAATATCAGTATGGACCAACGAGGAGACTTTAAAAGTAATGTTTCATTGGTATTATAATCCTTTGTTAGCCAGAGAATGATAATTAGCTAGGATATTGCTACCCAACAGTTTCTAAAAGTCACACTTAAAAATATATAAGATGACACACAGTCAATAGCCATTATAAGTATATCAAGGTTACAATTCATGGCAAAAAGCAATTTATTACACATTTTATATCTAAACATGACACAGTTAACATTGTCTCAATGAGGGAATGAAAAACACTTGCACATAATGGTAAATTTAATTTATTTCGCCTTGGAAAAACAATTCCAGTAATCTCCAGGTTCAGACTGCAGAGTAAACATTAATAACAGTAACGTACAGGTTAGTTTAAAGGATTGAAGAATTTTCGCTGTGTGAAATCATTAAGGAAAGGGGTTTGACACACAATGCTTTAAAATGGATTCCAGAAGAAACGTTTATTGGACAATCTACATAACTATTGCATATATGGTAATGCTGCCATACCACAAGGCTTATAAATATATATGTATATATTTATATAGGCCTCATTCAAGATACTTTAATTAATGAAGGCTTTTTTTCTGTGCAAGAATCTTCTCCTGCAGTATATATGTATATATGTATATAGATATATATTTAAAAAAAAAGTCTTCGATTCAGCTGCTTTATAATAAAAATGGGATTGAAGACCAAGATCTATCAGAAAAGATGGCGAAATACAGCTGTAATGAAGGCGACAGTTTTGTTTTCTTGCGCTTTCTCCAGAAATACATAATCACGGCTTATCATAGTCTTTTCTTTGAATAGGGTCCGAGTCGGATTTGTTTATAAGACGTTTTAGTATTGAACAACATAATACATGTGCAACACTGTATATACAAGAAGTTTATCCGGTGCTCAAAAGTCCACACACATGAACATCCAACAGTTCCAATAATACTAGTTTTATGGTAAAATACAATGTTTTTTGATTAATATACATGAACAATCAACGTTTCGTGCAAAGATTAAAACATGTTCCCTTTTCTTCGTCTCCAGTCGATCTTCAGAAGCATTGAATTTTGCACTAACTGCTATGCTGAGTCATTGTGTGGTTCTGTAACAAAGTAAAGCATAGATTAGTTCAACGTGTTTTTACACCGATTTTACTTATAAGGTAACCAATGATTACAGGGTCGGTGTTGGTTAGAGAACATACACGTGTATTTGCCATTGGACTGCGCCTTCTCAACATTGCTCTATAAATGTAACAAGTTAACCTAAAAAGAGCTTATGGTTTAGTTAAAGCCATATGAGCACTACGTAATTCTCCAGACACCATCTCAATACAAAAAGTTGTTCATGCATTTACAAAGCTAGAAATATTAATTATTTGAACAAATACTTTAATGAACCAGTAATATAACATTAGGGTAGACATTTACCCGGAGACTGCTTTCCAAAGTAAATGAGAAATTCCAGGTACTAACATGCAAAAGGTAGATAGGCCAGTGATCTAATATTTTTGCACGCTAGAAAATGTGCAATCATGGAGGTAAAACTGTTTTTTTCCTCCCACCAATATTCCTCTCCAATGCAATTGACATCATTGAGACACAACAGATTGAACAATGTTAGTATAGTCATTCATATACAGGAATGGATTCTACCCAAATGATCGAATGGTGGCTGCTAGTATATGGGGAGATTCAACTATCACAGATTCATCAGAATCAAATCATTTCTGATGTTCTCTAAGTGTGTGCATGCCTATAGAGAGGTGTACAGGAGCACAGTAATTGTTGAAATGTTTCCATCACTTCCTGGAAGAAGTGGTTTAGAATCTGCACTTACTACAGGTTTACACTTTGCTTTATAAAGTATCATGTAGTTCTTGAAGTCATGTAATCCTCAAAAGAAATGTAAAAATATTGCTGCTTAAAGACATTCTTTGGCTTTATTACAAATATTATATGTGGCAAAGGTATGCCAGGCAGTGCATAAATTGAGTAGCAGTCCATTTGTTTGCATTTCACACAGAAAACAAACAACCCTTTAGCTCAGTGACGGATTTGAACAAACAAAGGAAACGACTCATATATGGTATATTCAAACAACAGAAAAATACAATCATAAAAATGGATTTATTTACCAAGTCATGGCTTGTCGATTAGAAGAGTAATGACCGATTTTAAATTAAAAGCACATTTCCTTGCACTGATTTTATAGCGCAACGTCATGTTAAATGTTTTGGTTTGTTTTTTAATAAAAAAAAAATACTCTGTATTGCATGTGGCTTTACAGACATGATACAGATGCATAGCAGTATAAAGGAAGAAATGTTTTGCTATTTTTGAATGTATAGCTAAAGACATGGGTGAACTTTGGTTTGCTGCTGGTAGTCCAGTTAAAATGCTATGTAATATTTTGGTGCCTAAATGTCAACATAAACCTGTGTGATCCTGCAGTACACAGACTCAAGAACATAAAGTAACAGAAATCATTGCTTTGCTGACATTCTCAGTAGCTGTTATAATGACTGCAATGGTGTACGATAAAATGCAATAAAACATTTTAGCTTACAATAAAAAAAAAATGAGAATTTAATTAATAAAAAGATTTTAAATAATTTTTTAGTTTTACATGTTTATAAAAACTTTCTAAAATTCTCTAGACCTGGATATTCTGCATTTATGACATTAATCAGCCATGAAAATGTATTTAATGTCATTATTTCTGCTAATCTTTCAAGACAGTTCTAGATTTTGTAGACATAAACACAGCATGTGAAGTACATAACATTACATATTTAAAAAAGTATATAAAAACATGTGGTGTATACAGTATATGAAATAAATGTGTGTGTGTGTATATATATATATATATACACACACACACACACACACACACACACACACACACACACACATATATATACCAATATAGTTGTGGTGGGGGGAAAATGTGTGGATGAGAACACCTTCCACCTGAAGTAAGTGAATAGTTAATACATTGCTAAACACAAATACACACACAAGTCAAACCATAAGACTTGCTTTTCCCACAGAAATCTCACTTACAAAAATGTGGTTCTTTGTTGAGCTCATTTGCATTCGCCTACCCAGAATCCCTTGCAGTAGTAAGAGCACTGTTAAAGTGAGATTTCTGTGGGAAAAGCAAGTCTTATGGCATGACGGGTGTGTGTATTTGTGTTTAGCATTGTATTAAGTATTAACTATATATATAAAAAAAAGAAATGAAATATCCAAAAGCAACCTTTTTTCTGATTAAAGCTTGCCATGTGCTCAACAGAAATTAAAGTTTTAATCCGCTCGAACAGATGCTTCTTGCGCAACTACATTTGTGTATCTGTAACTAGAACGGAGAGGAAGAGAACATGGGATGTTCATAATTCTTTCAGCAGATGGTGACAGTACTATGGCAGCATGTTAGTTTTTTTTTTCGTTCAGGAACACAGACAGAAGCAATTCATCATTACTGATTAACTAATTATTGTACACTACATGTCACCCATGCAGTGGCTGCTGCCCGGATTTTATCTGAAGCAGAAACAGATGTACACGTTTCCACCTTCCTATTGCTTTTCATTTATCCCGCTACACATTGCACTACATCTTGGAAAACAAGAGATTTCAACAAGACTCTTTGCCTTTAAGCACTTTCCCTATTCGTTCCTTATTTTTTTTTGCTTTCTTACAAAAGAAATTGGTTTCCAACAGCCCAGATAATAAGTCTTTTGACCTGCATTCTACTTTGACCTATTAAGGTCATTCCAATGCGCAGGCATATAGCTGATTTCGGAAATGCCTGCAAGACCTGTGTTTCATCTTCTGCCCACTCAGAATAAAGCTCTCTTTAAATGTGTGTGTATGAGTCCCACCAGACCAGAAAGGCATCCCTGTTGTGGGCAATGGAGGGACAGAAGCTTTTGCCTTTATTAATGAATGCAGACCATTATGAGTCTGGCTGGCTCCTGCACTGTTCCCAGAAGCATATACTGTACGTGACTTAAAATGCTGTAATATTGACACAAAGCAAGTCAGGCACCCCTAAGGAAAATTACTCCTTGGATATAATGTAGTCTCATAACCGCTCTAAGAGTACAAAATAAAATCCACTGGGATCACAATGACATATACCGCATTCTACCTACTCCCAGAATATTACAAAGAATTTCTTTGTGAAGGAATTCTCAAGGACAGCATTAAACTGAGTTTTGTATGCTGCATCCTGGCTTAGAGCTCTTTGCACTAAATCGTTGGCTTAGAATCAATGAAAGTGCTATATCATCTGCATTAATCGATGAATTTGGTTCAATACACGTTCTATTAAATTATACTTTCTAATTGAGATTTTCTAGCCTTGCCCTCTGCACAGTTCTATGTTATAATTTTCAAATTGTTATAGACAACTTAAAAAGTCCTCTACTTTTCAAA